AAGTACCCAGGTCCAATACCATGAAGAGTAAACTATTCAAACTATTTTTGGTATATCTTCAGTATCATTATTATAAAGACAACAGTGAAATCAAAGCTACCAATTCTTTAGTGCCTGTTGGCCATCATTCACATAGAGTTCTTTCCAAGTAACCTATGATGCCATAATGTATTGCATATGTGGAGGTCAAAGCAGTGTGATCTTTTGTAATTGACAGATAGAAATGTTGTCAAAGCAAAGATTTTCTAAGTACTATTTTGTACTTTTTTGTGGTATGGCACCCAGTGTGCGATAATAGACCACCACCCCTGGTTTATGATCTTTTTTGCCTTCTATTCAGAGGTGGGTTCCTACCAGTTCGCGCCTATTCGGTAGAACCGGTTCATCAAATCTACTGAACCAGTTAGAAGAGGTTCCACCAGTGGACCTGGAAAGCAGGCCACACCTACAGAAGAGGTTCCAAAAAAATTTGAAATCCACCACTGCTGGCAAGCCGCTCCCAACTGGTCACATGGCCGGCAAGCCACCCCCACAAAGCTTGCCACACCTACAGAAGAGGTTCTAAAAAATTTTGAAACTCACCACTGCTCCTAGGTGAGCTGTCTTTGGATAGTCTGTTTCGTTACTCAGCCTTGAAATTTGTTCACATTATTCCAGCATGCACAAGGTCTATAGTTCTTTTTGATTGCTACTCCCTTGAGACAGCAGAGGTATTCTGACATTATACCAAGACGCAGCCCCCAATTTACAAGGCTCAAGTGATACCTTGGGTCAGAAAAAAAGCAAGCTTAATTGAAAAGAATGCTTTTGCGGCCCAATTTCGCTATGAGAACTCTCTAAGGAATGGCGCTCTATAAATCAAAACATCCAGAGGAAACCCAATTCCTTGAGAAACATTCCTCATCTTTAATCATCCTTAAAGCCATTAGCCTTCTACAACAAAAATACATATTTGAGTAATTTTATCTTTCAGCAAAGATCATGATAAAACCAGATTTCCACAGATGATTTCTCCTTTGGCCCTAGCTGCACCCCATCCATCTGGCCAGGAAGAACATTATCTCTAACAATGTAAGATTGGTGCCTGCAATGTCAAAGATTTTGGGATGGATGAAAGGTCAGCCACCATGCACAGAGTTCAGGTGTAATGCTAAGGAAGACTGCACAGACCCAGTTTATGCTTGCCTGGAGGGAGGGGGGAATCACCTTTTATATATTATTTTTCTTTTATTTGCTTCCCCCTCCATCTCTTTGCACTTCTCTTTTTCTTTCCTCTACTTTTTACATTTTCCTTACTTTTTATTAGTCTTTTCTCTTTGCATTTGGGTTGCTCTAATAAAATTATTTTTAAAAACTACATGTGGTGGGAGCAGGTCTGGGCAGATTAATGCCTTACCTTGTTTTGCTTTGAGATATAATTAAAAAGCGGTTAAGTGGTGAAAGTTTTCAATTTCTTACAGGAAATGCAACTTCAGTGGCAGGAACTTTCATTCTGAAACGCCAACTTTAGGCTGAGGCAACCCTCATTAAGCTGACTAAAGAAATCAGAGGGGCTGATCTGAGGAGCTATTTGCAATTTCACAATGGTAGTGTCAGCCCCGGAGGCAGTGATGGGTTTCAAATTTTTTTAGAACCTCTTCTGTAGGTGTGGCTTGCTTTGTGGGAGTGGCTTGCTGGCCATATGACCTGGTGGGAGTGGCTTCCAGCCATGTGACCTGGTGGGAGTGGCTTGCC